ATTATTATTATTATTATTATTAGTACTAGTATTACTATTATTATTATTATTATCATTATTATTATTATTGTTATTATTATTGTTGTTGTTATTGTTATTGTTATTGTTGTTGTATTATTGTTATTTATAATTTGTACAAATAACCTCCTTGTGGTTCGACCTCGGTCTTGCCGGGTTATTTATTACTTCGACACTCCTGCACTTGGGAGAAGACATCAATCTTTTCGTCGTGTCAGTCATATATTGTTGTAGGTTCTCCTAACGATCCTCAATAGGATTTTCGGGTCTTTCGTCTGACGTTCCTTTAGTTCTATATTTTCCGGGTGAGTGGGATAATCTTTAATATGCATATAATATAAGTAAATATGTATGTTGATTATATGATGAGTACGATTAGTTAATCTCTTGAATATTTATATTTATATATTTTGCTTTGTTTTCCGAGTACTCATCTATTCTTGAAATTTGCACTCGTATTTTATCGAGCTAAATTCTATTTGATATGATATACGTTTCTTTGATGATTCTGTAAATATCTATTATGCCTTGATATAGGACTTGTCAGTAACTCCATGCTAACGGAGAGTAGTTAGCCTATGTGCACATAGTATTCTGTATACCTAGCTGATGAGAGAAGCATCAGCCTGTGGCGACTGATCATCCCACAGTGGTCACCTTCGGGTGTCATCTGGTCACTTTTGAGTGTCATCTGGTCACCCTCGGGTGTCATCTGGTCACCTTCGGGTGTCATCTGATCTCTGACATGTATTCCACTACGTTATGATAATATGTTCAATATGTATATGTATATGTATATCATTCTACTACGTTATGATAATATGTTTAGTATGTATATGAATATGTATATGTATATGTATATGTATATCAAGATAAATCATTTGATAAAATATTTATATGAAAAATAATCTAAAATGTATATTAAATATTATTCCCTCACTGAGTTGGTTGAACTCACCCCTCATTTTTAATATTATTTCAGGTTCTTAGTTTCTGATAGCAGTTGGACTTTGTTGAGTGTTTCTGCTTCTTCAGTTTTGGGTCGGTATGCCTTGCTTATTGTTCAAGGTTGTTTTGATTCGATGTCTTAGACGCTCCACTATTACTCTGTTTTAATTAAGTTTGGATTTTGACAATGTAATGAGTATTATGAATTATTATTTTTGTTTTAATTACTGATGAAGAGTTTTGAACTATCCTTTGATTTCATCAGCTTTGAGTAATATAATATTTCTCAAGATCATGAAATGCTGCGTATTTTTGAATATCTTGCTCTTTTGATATGTCTGTTTTGAGGCTTAGCGTAGGTGGGGTGTCCTTTCGACACTACTCCTGCGTTGCCGGTCATGAACCCGGGATTCGGGTCGTGACAGTGGGTTTGATTCCTTCTTACATTAATATATTCTTTCAAACAATAGATGAGAGGTTGTTTTTCTTCTTTTTTTTTCAAATAAAAAAGAGGTGTATGGGCCATGACTACGAGCCCCTCCCCAAGCCCACATGTTCAGCTTTACCGTAACACATTATTTGAATATTTTTTATATTTTTTTTATTGTGAGGTTTTTTTTAATTTTTTTAATATAAGATTGATTATAAATCAAATTTTATATTTTTTATTATATAATAAAATAAAATAAAAAATAATTTGACTTAGTAGAGCCTATAATTTCTGCCAAGGGTTTGACTAGTGAATAAGGTTTAACTTAACATTTTTTTTTCTTTGCACTTATCCGATAAACAAGATTATATAATAACAACTTTCATATGATTTAATTTAAAATTTAAGCTAAATAAATTTTCATGTTGAGAGTTGTCAAGTTTGAACCAGTATACTTAGTTTAATGATAATGCCAAAAAAAATTATATAATTTATATATTATTTTTTTATATTTCAAAAAAAATTCATCCAACCCACAATAGTGTAGGAGATAAATTAGTTATATCTAAATACATCAACATCCATTACTCATTTTTACTGACATTAATATTGTAACAAAAACATTATGCTTTGTTAGTGGAATATTTTGTTACAAATTTTGTCTAAAAACATGGTTAATGAAAATATTTGAAACCAAATTAAAAGTAAATCCATTTATTTTTGGGGTTAAAACTTCGTTGGAATTTAATCTCCAACAAAAACTCTTTAACATAAACAACTAATATGATTTAAATAAATTGCAGATAAACCAAAAATTATTCTCAAATAACTATTAATTCACATATTTTAGTGAAACACAAAGCCCTCTAAAAACTAATATTGAGACCAAAAGGAACCTAATTGTTTAGATGGAAAATGACATAAGCAAAGTGAGTTTTGAACTTAAACTCATACACAAGTGCATGTCAACATGACGTAATTTGGTCTAAATTTGAATTTATTATAAAATAGTTTCTTGTAATGTGAACTCATAAATAAGAAAAAATACAACCCAAAAGGATAGAATCGGATTGAAGATACCTTAAACCAAAAAATTGAAGCTATTGGATGAATAACAACAACCCATTGATTATTGAGTGTAAACATGTAATAGAATAAATGATAATAATTATTTTTTATTGCTAATGTATAACTTTAAATTTGATAATGAGTAGGAGAAAGAGAATTTTTATGTTTTGTTAGGGCCATGAGATAACAATTTGAGAGGATGAGTGTAATGTTTGGCTGAGGTATAGCATTGTTAATGAGAATAAGGAAGGAGAATTTTTTTTTCTTTTTTATATACAGTTTTATGCTAACAAGTGTAATTTTCAATCTGAATATTGAATTAAATTGATATTTTATCAAAAGATTTCACAAATCTTATTTTTATAGGGTTAAAATTGAATATCAATCAAAGTTTGGGAAGACTTTGAGATAAAAACTAGAAAGTACTATGCCGGAATTGCATTATTTTTCTTGTTAATTTAGGATTAATATCTTTCCTTCTCACTTATAAATTTTCTATAAAGTAGCCTTTTTATTCTACAATGACATTACAGGCGACATAATTAGAGTTATTAATTGGCAAGGTTCCCATGTTTCATTATGATTCAAAAGTTAGCGGTTTCTTTATTTTACATGGGCACACGAGAGGCAGTAGTAGAGTTCCAATTTTTACAAGGTACACCTTATTTTTTAAAGCTATACAAAAATTATAAATAAAAAAAATAAGAATTAAATTAAAGAATATGATATTTAGTAAATTGTAATTGAAAAATAAAATTAAAAACAAATAAAATTTCTATACAATAACCTGAAAAAAAAAAAAAAATAATGACTGAAGTTGAAACACCAACAATAAAAAAAGCAAATTATAATTTATTAGGAAGGAAAGAAAAAAAGAAAAAGAGAATAAAAAAATCTATTGACAACAAATTAAATCACCATCAAAGATATGCATCATACCAACAAAAAACAAAACACGATAGTACTTCCAATAATAAGATAAAAGGATATTTTTGAACAATAAAAAGTATCACACACAGCACCCATAATGTGTTGGCACCTCCCGCATCCCTTATAATGTCATATATATATTTAATTTTTTTTATGTAAATATCAAATCATCTATAATTATACACGTTAATAATGAAAAACAAATCTTTGGAAAAATCCTTTTAATTGTTTCACTATACTTTTTATTTTTTTATATATATTTGTCCAAATACAAAATTGCCCTCATCTTACATAATAATAACAAAAAAATCCATTTTAAAAGTACAAAATTGTCCCTGAATGCCAATATTGAAATTTTTACTTTTAAGAATATTTCAGAAATTTTACTATATTTTTTAAATAAAAAAAATATAATTGCCTGAAGTAAATTTGAAAATGATTCATATGTCTTATCAAAAGACTTTGATGTCTCAGGTACCTACTTATAAGTTTTTTTGATGGAAAAGACAAAGACGTCATTAGAATGTTCTGGTGAACAGTATTAATATATCTGCACCAACACTATTTTCCTAACTAGTTTTAGCTATAGCATATTGGAAAAAAAATATGAATGTATCTTTTATTTTATCAATCTTCTTAATTTATCTTTTTCTTTTTTTCTGTTTTTTAAACAAAAAATAAATAAATTAGAAAAACAACATAAACTCAATGAAAAATATTAAGTTATAAATGGTTTTAAAAACAAAGAGTAAATATATAGTTACAACCATAATTAATTAATTAATTTTAATAAAGTACAAAATTAAGTTACCAGTCACTCCATGCTTCAGTTTATATTTTTCCCTTCTCTTTCTCTTTTCACCTACTATTTATATGAGAATTTGATAAAAATTATTTTTAAAAATATTTTTATTTTAAAATATATTAAAATAATAATTTTTAACATTACCATATCAAAAGTATTTAAAAACATACAGCTTTTGGGTCTAAGAAATGCAATCATTGCTAAAAATTCTGATCATTGCTGTGTTATGTAAATATTTGTTTCGCTGTGCTAAAACTTTGCTTCCTTAGTCTTTAACAATTTTGATACTTGTCGAAAAATGGAAAGACTAGTTCTAATCGAACACTAGCATTTATTATTTGCCTTCATTTTTTTATTTCTTGAAGGGCTTGAAAGCCCAAGTACCGATTCTGGCTAGACTCGGGTCAATATAGCTTAGAAAAATTAATCGGGCCTGATCTAGGTCTCATCCGACCCGACACATGAACATATGTAGAACATACAAGTTTTATTGATCATGAATGGCTTTGTGATCAAATCTTCAATAGATATATTTATTCAAGAAAAAATAACATTTGAATTGAAACAGCTATACCGCTCACAAAATTTAATTCAAACTCGCTTGAGCAAATCTCCCAATTCACTCAAGAAACAAATCGGATCTTAAACCCTCAAATTATATATATACACACTCTGCTCTCTTCGAGCAAAGAATGTTTCCACCGGGACCAAGTTTCCTAATAAAGTATAGCTTCTATCCCTCAAGTTAGTGTCGTTCTTGATCTGATTTCAACATTTTGGAAGGTCGCTTGGCGGCGGTAGAAGAGACTCCTTTGGGCCTTTGCCATTGTCTACCAAGAACGCCATCTTAAGTCCCCATGTGGTGTGCACCTCTAGATGGCAATGCATGAACCAAACTCCTACAAGAGATGCGAAGAAGAAAATCAGAGCATGAAATTAAACAACCTTGAAAATGCCAAGCTCTGTGGACTTCCAAACGAAAACATTAAACAGCAATTACCTGGATTATCGGCGCGAAATCTTATCGCCACCCATCCACCAGAAGGTACTCCAATTGTGTTCCGTTCAACGGGATCAACGAGGTTAAATTTCTTTATTAGAAAATGGAGATCTTCTGCTGTTTTATGATCAGCAGAGGAATATAACCACGTAGGGTATGTTACAACGATATTAGAAAATAGAGATATTCTAAAGTTCTATGATCAGGAAGGGGTTTTTTTGCATAATCTTAGAGAGGAAAGTTACGTTTTAGTTGATTTTTGTACAATCCGATAATTAAAAAACATTACATCTTTCACAATTACATGAATCTATAGAAACTTCAATTGCATTCATGTCACTGTTCTAGTATTACGAATTCATAAATGGACATCAATACAATGCAAAACATTTGTGGCAATCTTGTATGAATGCCCCAATTTATGAAAACAACAAATCATCCGCAATTTGTTACTAAATTCTGGTGCATAGCATTCCCAAATTAACTCAGTCTAATGTTAAAATTAATTAAAGCAAGAAATTGTATAATGGCAGGCAACATTTTCTAATAGTTGTGGCAAGCAAGAAAGAAACAGAAAAAAAAAAAACTGGGGATCTTGAAAAGGAGATCATGCTTTAATTTTCCAGCTTCATTTAATCAGAAGATGATGAAAATATTGAGGGGGAAAGGACATCACATAGGTCACAAGTACAAACTCAATTTTAGGACAACACAACAAGAAATTGATACAATATTATTAGTTCAGAACTACAGAAACCCAAAGTTTAACTGCAATTTTAACAATAATAATCCAATCCAGCATTACGAAGGGATAATAAAACTAAACAAGATAAAATCCTAGAATACCGACTTTACGGAAGTTATAGTCTGTATCAAAGTGAGCATCAGCAGGACAGCAGCTGCAATAGTTCCCGTACCTCTCCAAACATGGGGGAAATATACAAGTTCCAAGGTTGCCTTCATACGGTTAAGGAGGCTATCACAGTGGTCATTCATCTTTTCACATATATCATCATAATAAGTATAAGGGTCACTAATGTTTTCGCAAAGCTTGTTAATCATAACTGAAACTGCGGCATCGTTACCTAGCCTGTGGGTAATGATTTTCTTTCCGACTAGCAAACCCACGTCTTCTGCACTGTCGATAAGATGGTCCATAAACTTAATGTAACTGCATACGTAAGCTTCATTCTGGTACAAGCACTGCTCCAAGGCCATGATATTTCGTACAGCACGTTCGAAGTGGTAATCAACTTCCAAGAGTGGTATTTTCAACACTCCTTTCTCAAATGTTATGTTAAGCAAACATTTGTCTTCGGCGACCTCAAACTCGACTCCTGCCGCGCGAAGCTTGACAGCATTATGCCTCAGCATGATAGGATTACTGGATCCATTCAGCTTCCTGGCTCCATTCGGCTGCCTGGCTCCATTCAACATAAAATTTCTTAGTAAATCAGTGAAATGTCTGCTTTTCTTTACACTCAGGTTGGTTTCTATGTTTTTTAAGAACGTGTAATTTTTAGAATGAGAGGTAACAAGATCGAAAAAAGGAATGGCTGTTGGATCTTGGCGAGCACGATTGTACTTGTCATATATTTTCTGAATAATGAAGAAAGGTAGCTGGTTTTCAAGTAGTATCAAGTCTTCTCGTATGTCCAATATCGTCCTAGGCTCGAACCTGTTAGGACCTTCATCATTTTTCGAATATTCCTTCATAAACTCAATGATGAAGACAGCATCCAGCATGACCATCTCTATGAAATCACTTTTCTTCGCTAGTTTGAATTCCTCTGAATAACAGTCTCGGAGACGCTCTTCTTGATTCTGAATGCTCCTTATAATATCTCTTATTTTCTCCATATCCAACAGTCTCGGAGTCGCTCTTCTTGATTCTGAATGCTCCTTATAATATCTCTTATTTTCTCCATATCCATCCCAATCCGTTCAGTAAACTCTTTGTAATATCTCAATTTCTCGTTTTCCATGGCCTGAAGTTTTTTATTTTTGCGGTGAAGAGGACCTATTGAAATCAGTAGTGGATAGTAGGCTTGCCAATGTACGCTTTGAACCCGTTTGGACACCCTGTAGATACAGCACTCAAAACAGTCCTGTTGAGAGGGCAACCCTTTCAACTTTTTATCCAGATTTTCAAAAAATTCTCCAGTCACCTTATTTTCTGAAGCACTTCCCACATCCATATCCAGCTGTGCAAAAATCTTATTTTCTGAAGCACTTCCCACATCAATTTCCAGCTGTGCATAAAGTTTTCCAATCATCTTAGTTTCTGAAGCACTTCCCACGTCAATATCTTTACCCTTATTTGAAGAACTTGGCTTATCCTCTTCCATTTTTGATGCTCTTGCCCGTTCAATATCGCTTTTTGCACTAAATTTATCCTTTTCCAGGCTGCAAATTCGGTGAAACAAACCAGGAATGAATGGAAGGTATATATATATAGTTTAATTTTTAGTTTGTTCCCCATAGAATAAGGCAGTTTTTGAGACATATTTTACCAAACTAACATAGAAATTTCTATGTTATTTCACAAAATTAAAGCACTTTTTTCCATACAATTACATGACTGTATGTGTCCATGTAAATTTTTAGAGCAATGCTATAAGAAAATCAAAAGAAAATTTCATATGAACTGTAATAATTACTCCTTTTGAAAATGCACGCTCAATCGATTTGGTAATTATCATTTAACACGTGAATTTATGTAAAAATTTAATATAATTTGTTTGTATGCAAAGTAATTAATTTTCAGATTTTTAAATCCCGCACTTTCTCCTTCTCCAAATTTTTGTTTTCCTTTATATTGTTTCTTCTGCAATAACTTTTATTACCAGTTGTTTAATCCTTTACTAAATGGTTAATAACTACTTTTCAATAAAATTATCGAATCATTATTAAAAAAAAATCATGATCTAGAAGGAACATATGTTAAAAGTCATGACCTAATCAACTAATAAGTTACGTTATCCAATTTCTTTTTATGGATGATTGGTTTAAGGGTGTAGAATTTGGGTAATGGAATACGATATATAAGTCTTAAATTGATATAATTGAAAAGGAAATGGATGATCCATGTTGGTGGAACCAATATTAGGTGTAATAATAAGAGAGAGGAAATTAATAAATAATGGTTTGAAAGGAAAGACAACTTATGTAGTTCGCTTTTTATAAATCTCTTGGGTGTTGTAGCTGCTCCTTGAAATGACTACTACTATGCACAGGAAAGTCAGAGACATGTTTTGTCGAAGTAACTGAAGTTGTTTTCGGAGAACTTGCAAATAAATTCTTTATGGTGTGCCTGTTGTTGGTAAACTGGTGTTGGAAAAACCAGGAAGCTTTTCTTTTAGTTAGTTTGTTATTTGGTTAAATTTTATTAATATTTTTTCTCAATTATTATATATAAAAAAACTAATGTTGGAGAAAAATAACAAAAAAAAGGGTTTCTTTTTTGCTTGGTTCATGTTGTTTTTTTTTTTATATATATATTGTATTTGTTTCGGCTAACCCTTAGTTATTGTTTTTGCTTTTTCGAGGCTTTAACTTTGAATTTTAAAAATATTCAAGTTACACCATTGTGAGTAAGGTTGTCAAAAACAACTTTTTGATATCATATAAAATATACAATATAAATTTAAATTGTAAAATTATAAAATCACAAGTGAAATATTTTAACTAATTATATATTGATAATTCTAGTTAAGAAGTAAATAATAATATAACATAATTAAAATAAAAATTAAATAAATAATACAAATATCCAAACATTTTAAAATACATAATTCAAATAAAAATTCATAAATGATTTAAATAACTTAAAAATACAATATAATACAATTATATCCATAAAAATTTCATTAAATAAAAATTAACAAACTTAAAATAAATAATTTGTCGATGTGTCATGTAAGCTAAATACATTTTCATTGCCTTTATCTTAACTTTAATCTTAACTTGGTCTTGGTGATATTTGTTTAACTTTAATCTTAACTTGGTATTGGTGATATTTGTGAGATGAGTTTTATAATCTTCTTTTTTTTTTTTGGTTCTTAGAACACAATGATTTATTGATAGTGTTTCTATTAATGACTAATAAGGTTATATGCTTTTCTTTCTTTTTCTTATTTTAGGTGGGTATTAAATTATATGCTCTCCCCTTTTCTACGGTTGATCCATATTCACTTCTAGTCTAGAAAAAAAAAAACCCCATTTTTGTTTGTTTGTATCTCATAACCAAACCAAAACATTTCTCGTTAGCAAGTTTGCATTTCTTTCTTCTTGTTTTTTTTTTTTTGTGGTGGCCATGACCATGACCATGAATCTAGAAATGCGATCGGGGTGCTGGTAATGGATCACCATCAAAAAAATATAGGTGGCAGTGGCAAGGTTGTTTCTATATCTTCTGTAGGAAAGAGATCTTCTCCAACACCAGAAATATTGATAGAAAATGCCTAGCTCTAGGTCAACAGCAAAAAATGAGAAACCAAATGGATCCATAGTAGTAGTTGATCATCAAACAAGGCAAGTTGATTCCACTCGGGCTTAATCGAAAAGGGAAGTTGGGGTTACAAATAGCAACCCTGCCTCAGTACTAGTAGTACTAGAGGAGGAGAAAAGGTCAAACTCATGAAATCGGTCTGATTTTATTGAATTTGACCGATTTTAATTGAGTTTGACTAATTTTAAGTTTTTAACCTGATTTTACACATTATATATATATTGACTCAAAAAAATCAGATAATTTTTCAATGATTTTCACAATAATGAGCTAGAGTTCAAGTTTTATTTTCATTTTACAGTCTACTGGTAACCTTTCTATGCAACATATAACTCAACTTTCAGCTCCCTCTTTACCTATCGATCTCTTTCACTATAACACACTTTCTCCTTCTCTACTTGTCTTCTTCTGACTCGTTAACAATCTTCCTATATATGCAATTGCTTAAATTGTGTTAAAAAACCAGACCGGACCTAGTTTAGTTCTTTAAAAAGAATGAAAAACAAAAAAGGAACTACAAACACCATGCCCCTTCATAGGGAAAAGGTAAACTTTATGGATAGAATGCTTATACATATATTAAACCATCTGATGTCTGAATAGCTTAAACCAAATCCAAAACATCGTACGTAAATTTTCAAAGAACAAAACTAGATGGTGCTGACCTGAGGGAGATCAGTGGACACTCTCTGTAGAGATATGGTCCCAAGCAGCGAGCCTCTTTCCTATAGATTGCAGCTCCTCTCTCTCTCTTTCTCTGTCTCTCTAAGTCTCCTGCCTTGACTACCCTAATGGTTGCGCGACCTCTAGATTATATAGTGGTAGGAAAACGTGTATGTCATGAGTTTTCTTCTACGTCATCAGTAAATCGTCAGCTCTAGTCATCAGTAAACGAATAGGTCACTTTCACTTTTATATATTTACATTTATTAATTTTATAATCTATTTTTAGATTATTTCTCGAATTTAATTTTTTTAGATAAAAATTTAAAAATAAAATAAAGACGGGCAACGCAGATAAAATAGGCCCGATAAGGATTTCAATCATATGGGAAAATCAAGCTATAATTTTAAATGAAATTCAAAACTTAATTGTACCCCATTATACTTAAAACTAAAAAAATAATATAGATTTAAAGTCAAATTAAATGATTATTGAACGAATCTATATAGAAATTAACTCCAAGAGCATAATTAAATTTTTAATAGGCTAATTTAATTTAATTATGGCCCAAATTAAAGTTTAATTATATTTAAAAATTAATTTGAGTTCAATTAAAGGATTTAATCAAGTATAAGGACTTAATTATATTTTAAAAGAATAAAATTAATTTTATTAGAAGTTTAATTAATAAAAAAATAAGTTTGAGTGCCCATAGGTTAAATTTGTTTCCCAATATATCTCTGTGCTGGCAAAGAATTACATCGAAGCATATGGCATTGACTATAAAATTAAATGAATGAGACATAAAATGCATGCATGCAGTCAATATATATAAATGTGAAAGTGACGGATCGCAAAAGAAAACACTATAAATGAGCTGGCGATTAACATAAATGCTTATGACAATGACTTTGATATAAAATGAATGTGTCCAAAGAATACGATTCTGTCATCGGTTTAATACATAGATTTCGTGTATTAAAAATACGTTAAAAATGATGAATCAAATTACAAGAATAAAAATTTGGATATAAAAATGGTAAAATCTCTCTTATATGCTTTTTAGATTTACAAATCCTCTAATTAACAGTTATATCAATCAAGATTTTCATATAAGCTTGAAAGCTTTATCTATGTGAGATTTCTGTTTAACATAATTTGATTTGACGAGAAATTTGACACAAAATTATCTCTAATCTGAGAAGAGACTAAAATATTAATGAGTTTTCGGCCATTAGGGTAGTCAAGGCAGGAGACTTAGAGAGGGAGAGTGAGAGAGAGGGAGGAGCTGCAATCTATTGGAAAGAGGCTCGCTGCTTGGGACCATATCTATACAGAGAGAGTCCACTGATTTCCCTCGGATCAGCACTATCAAGTATATATATATAATCTGCTAGATAGACTTAATTACCTTCACTACCAACTTTATGTTCAAATAGCACAAAATAGCCAAATTATTCATTGAACTTTTACGAGTGGAGTAATGATAGGCTGTCCAACCTGGGTCATGAATAATCCCACACATTATTCATGTTTTTTATCTAATAATAATAATTTTCTTATAAAAAATTATTTTTTTATAGATGGCAATATAACATATATGCGAATGAAACTAATTAATGTCGCACCTGACATCGCGACGACCTTAAAAATTTATTAAATCTTGGTGAAAGAATAAATTTCTGGCATCCTGTTCTTTAATGAGGATATTCTTTGTTTAAGGAGTTGTCACCTAATATTATGGTTACTAAGAACCCTAACTGGTTAACAGAGATTTTATGTTCCGAGATTGGTTACGTAAAAGGATAGATATTATCACCCTTTAAACGTCCTACATAAGGCAGACTACATTGCTGATCTTTATCCTTAATTGCTAATATATTTTTTTTGTTGGTTTATACTATGATTGTTTGGTGTGTAATATTCCTGACTCTGGCACCAGTGAATATTCAACTACGGATATTTCCAACTCTGGCGTTGGTAAATATTACGTAGGTATCAAAGTAAATAAATTTAAATTATTAATTGCTAATATATTTTTTTTGTTTATACTATGATTGTTTATGTGTAATATTCCTGACTCTGGCGTCAGTGAATATTCAACTACGAATATTTCTACCTCTGGCGTTAGTAAATATTACGTAGGTATCAAAGTAAACAAATCTAAATCATCATTTTTTTTAATTTCTAACTCTGACATCAGTGCATAAAAAAATAAAATCAGTTTATTAT